TATAATTTGTTTTACTCTGATTAGTATAGGCCTATACAGGCAGGCCTGTATACATTTATATATATATATATATATATATATATATATAATTATATAATAGTATGTCATATTTATATATAATTATCATTATATATTCTACTGTCCTCCTCAAAAACGCTAATGGCTGCTCCGGATTCCATTTGCCAGCATGACGTTTAGTAGTTATTCAGTATTGCTCAATTACTTTACTATTTAATATAACAAAGATAACAAAAGATCATATGACGCTAGATAAAAGATAGCATGTCAAGAGTATATATTATACTTACAGCTTTCGATTTCTAATGTACAGTTTTGTTCATCCATCGGATAATGCTGCAAATCCATCATACACGAAGCTACAGTTGTTATCCTAAAAGAAAATGTCATATTTCGTATAGTGACGGCATTGGTTAACATATTTTTTCCTTGATTTTTCCTTGGTTAACATAGTTATCCCTGGTTAACATTTTATCCCTGGTTAACGTAGTTATCCCTGGTTAATATAGTTATTCCTGGTTAACATAGTTATCTCTGGTTAATATAGTTATCCCTGGTTAACATTTTATCTCTGGTTAATATAGTTATCCCTGGTTAATATAGTTATTCCTGGTTAACATAGTTATCCATGGTTAACATTGTTACCCCTGGTTAACATTGTTATCCTTGGTTAACATTTTATCGCTTGTTAACATAGTTAGCCCTGGTTAAAATTTTATCCCTGGTTAACATAGTTATCCGTGTTTAACTTATTTATCCCTGGTTCAAATATATATATATGTATGTCTAGTGCCCATCTGTTACACCAGACACCGGTCGTGGAGTGGAATAATTTTGACGTTAACATTTTGTTGACAATCCAAGCGTCCAAATCAATGAATTACAGCTATACAATTTGAGTTCAATGGGTTTGGAAGAATTATTTGTTTTAATCACTTACTTAATTATTGGCGTTAATCCCACTAAATATCAGATTTCATTTAAATTACTGTAATTTAGATTATATCTCTTTAGTTAAACCATTTGAAACAGTATTTATTAAATAATAGCCTGGCTTCTATTTTACGATTTGGATGAAATTATTATAATGTAATGTAGTAGTTAGATTTACAGGATAGCGCTTTATACCAAAACAGTCTCAAAGCGCTCGAGGTGTGGACAAGCTCGTACAGTAGGCCTAAGTTGCTTCTCCCCTAATAAGGGTCTATTCGTCTCTGAGCTACCCAGATATACTTTAAGTGTAATTTTATGCACTGCTGTTTCAAATTCCAATGAATGAATTCACTCAGCGATCAAAGTTCCGTCGTGATCGCTGGGCTTAAGATAACTTCAGGCTTTTCGGTAGGTACATAGAATGTATAAGAGACAGATATATATGTGTGTATGTATATATATGTGTATATATATGTATATATATGTATATATATATATATATTAAATATTTCTGCTACAAGCAGACATTCTGTTTATATATATTTTGCTTATATTGCTCATTTGCATAACTTGAATGATCAATTTCATCCTGTGTTTTCCACTTCATTCACCTGATGAAGCTAGCGAAAGTTTGTGCCTCAATAAATTTCGTTAGTCTAAAGAAGGTGCTACTCATTTCATTTGTATTTTATGCTTATGCTATAGACTAATACGACTCATACTTTTATTGTTTAATAGTTGTTCTCCTAACAAAAATATTTTTTATTTGAAGCAATAATAACAACGATAAAATACCTTAACCCGTATAAAATTGTTCCGTCGTAGTGCAGTCGAATTAAACGATTTTTCACCGTGATATCGTGTACAAATGATCGTTTATCATTTACAAAATAAGTGTCTGGAACCCAGATATTGTCTGCTTGTCTCCCATCAAGTGATATATTACCCAGTTCCTTACTGTATGATAATCGTTTATCTTGCCAATACTGTCGGAAATACATTGTGATCGTATACTCCTAATGAGAAAAATGAGAGAGATAGCTCGTTAAATGAATAATTTTACAAACAAAACTCACGTGCACTGTATTATTTTAGGAATGTGTTCAATCGCGAAAATAAAAGACAACGAAATGCTTTATTTATTGAAATCGCGAAAACTTCTTAGATTAGTTGCCTCCAATCGGATTTAAATCCCAACAAAGCCGTAGGAACCCGGTTGAAAGGTGTCCACTGAAGTATAATGTTAATGCATTTTTTCACTCACGCAAATTAATATTTTTTTTGGACTATTCGTAAAGTATTGTATACCGCTAGACCCTTTAAAGTGTGTGATCTTGTCCGATATACATTGAACCATTTATTCACAAATTAAATATTACAAAATCAAAAGGAATCAAAATAAACGGCTGCTTGTCAGTTTAAATACCAAACATAGAAAACATACAAACACGGATACATAGAAAGACAGCAAATGGATTTTTTGGGTTTTGCCAACAAATTTCGGCACTGCCTGGATGGGGAAATGCCCTAATTATCATCACGCAACATTAATAATACCGTGCGCTATCAGACACCAAGGTATTCCCGACAGTGTAGGCCTACTCCTATCCCCGGAAAGTGCCGACAATCATGGACGACTCTCAAGATAAAATGATTAAAATGTTTAAATGTTTTAATCTTTTCTGTAAAGGCGCTATATAAATGCTTTTTAATAATAATAATAATAATAATAATAATAATAATAATAATGATGATGATAATAATAATAATAATAATAATAATAATAATAATAATAATAATAATAATAATAATAATAATAATAATAAATATGATAAATGCATACATCATGCATCCTTATCGAGATCCCGTCTTGTCATTACACACCTAGGTGAGGGCGTATTATTATTAATGAATGCGGTTCAATCATGGAGGAATTAGTCGAGGCAGGGACGGATTTAGTGGGGGGAGGGACCCGGCCCCGCCCCTCCCCCATCTTTTGGGAGGTGAAAAAAGAAAGAAAAAGAAAAAAATGATAGCCCAGAACGCCTTAAATGTTATTTTCGGGCGGCTAGAACACAAAAATTTCGCGGACCCCTAAAATAATGTTGTCTCGATCGGCCCAACTTTCGGCCCCGACTTTCGCGCCCCCCCCCCTTTTTGGACATCTCTGGATCCGCCTCTGCCAGTGGTCTTAAATGGTGACGCGACCGGAGGGCCATCTCCCGCCCGCGTGTGCGTGTTATGCCCATGAGAACAAGCCGAAATAATATTTTTCATTCGTTAAGCTTGTGCTTACATATTTCTGACCTTAATAAATTTGCATTCTGTTTTGCCGACTAGGCCTATATATTTCCCCACAAATTGTAGCGATTTAATTAATCAAATCGGAAAACTATTGCAGCAAACAGCAAAGAAATACTGTATTACAGTTGACCAATTGTGTGATATATAACATTTTGACTTTTGCATTACGCAAGGTTAATTTTCTTAGGTCAAGGTACCGTACCCTGTATGAGCGTCTAGCAGCTTATTATTTTCCAAAAAAATCTAATTCGGGAAGGGGACACGAACCTCCCAAACCCTCGCACCTGCGCGGCGCTCGGGTGGCGGTATGCGTACGCGCCATAGTACACCTCTTGCCCTGGTTCTTCAAATTTATTCAATGAACAATTTTGGCCCCTATTGCGATATACTTGAGAACCCCTAATGAAGGCTTAAGTTTGTCTAAAGTAATTCATCAATGGTTCAATAGTGCACTGTACAATCCACTGTCTCCAATCGGAGCCACTTGAGGCCCAGTTTGTTATGGGTCTGTGCAATATTAAGCAAAAGGCTTGGATTTGAGTCCTAGTTAGAAAGACCCTTTTTTACTTTCAAAGATTCCTCTTCTTTTTAACGTTAGGCGTACCCGAGAGATTATCTCTCTACATGTACGGTGACCATGTATGCAGAACCCGTTACTTGAAATTGAAAGCATTTTCATTGAAATTGCTATATAAGTACGACAAGGCATTTAGTTTTGTGACATGGGTATGTAATAAACAATCTCTCGTTCGATGTTCATTAGCCCATCAGTATCTCTACCCAATATCTAACGCCCTACTTACTTCAGTTAATGTAATTTTATCCCAATGTCGACACAAATACTGTACTATCGACAAATGTTACATAATATTATTAATAAATCTGCAAAAATGGTCGATTCAATACTGGGATACGTATCGAAATTAGGAGGAAATCGCAATTTATTCAACTTTAGCCGTCGTCAGTGTGCTTGTACTTACGTAACATGATACGACAACTTTCGCCACGCGTTTAATAATCTGCTAACGCAAAGCGATGGGTGAAACGCGTTCGGTTTCAAATAAATCAGCCCGAGGCCAAAGCTTGTATCAGGTTTGTTTGGTGAAGGGATTTGGCCGGTGCGCAAGAAAATTGTTGTGCGCAAATTGAAGCCTCTGTGCGTTGTATATTACTGCCAATTTCATAACTAATTCCTCTAATCAATAGTCTGTATTATTTGATTAAGTGGATACTAATTAACAACAACGCCTTCATGTATTGACGTACGCATCAACGATTTCACGATCGGCGACTACAATTGCTCAGGAAGATAGCAAGTCCAAAGCTGTTTAAGTATTCTCCATTATGTCAATACGCATTTAGTTACAGATGGCGTATGGTGAAGGTCTAGTTTCTTTTTTTTTTTTTTTTTTTTAGTAATTGTTATTGTCGTGATGGAATAATAGACAATAACTTTTTTTTTTCTTTGTAATACATATATTATATATACTCACTTATTGTTATGCAGGCAAGGTTCCGGTATATTACGGTATATTATCTGTCTCTTATACACATCTAGATGTGTATAAGAGACAGTATATATATATATATATATATATATATTTCTTATGCAAACACTTTAAGATTCATACTCCGGCTATGATTATAGAGTTACAATATCTACTGAAATGTACCTGGTTTGAACTATCGCGATGCCGCCAGGTGGATTTGTGTTATTAGTAACTGTAGACGAGGAACCTGTTCTTAGTGTCAAGGTAGCGTACGCAAAGCAGACGTTTAAAATTGTGTTAATTTACAGTTGTTATCGCTAACTTTGTAGAACCACATTTTGAAACACATAGTTGTATATATTTATTTGTGTTTCCAGCATGCTTGTTAATTTAAGGCGTTTATATAATATATTATAAATAATAAATATATTAAATAGTTTATTATTCACCTTCGTCGTAACCATTATCATCATATTCTTAATCAAAAATTGTCATCGTCTTCATCATCATCATTATCATCTTCATCATCATCGTCATAATCATCATCATCATCATCATATCATCATCATTTTGATTATTATTATTTTACACCTCTACTGGCTTATGTAAAACATTTATCTGTATGTTTTGCTAGGGTTTTTGGTAGACAGTGCTTTCTATTGAATTGCCCCACCCCTACTAACCCCTTCCTATCTTAAAGAACAGCAAAAGAATGTACGCTCCTCTTAACTAAAAACGTGTGGTCTTACCATGTTAACTTCAGAGAAGCTGTTAATACTTGCTATTTCCATATCCACGCCGACCATAACCGCAGGACCTGTAAAAGAACATTAAAATTTATTATACTGTAATTGATTTGGGCATTGTTAATGGTCTATTTAATATTGTTTTTTCGGCAGCTTCCAAAGTAATAGTTCATAGCAAAATAACATTAGATTACTATGTTTCACAACCAACATTATAACCAACATTATATAATAATGACAATAAGATGGATACAATTTTGACCTAATTTTTATATCGTGCTTAAGTTGTTATTATACCATTATTTGTAATTTGTAATAATAGTAACAATAATAATAATAACAGTACATGTGTACCGCGTAAGTTTGACGGTGAATCAATAACATTGAATCTAAAAGAAAGTACCGTAACCCGGAAAATGACATATGATATATTTTGTCGATTTCATCAATACTATAAAGTATAATAATAGCAGCCAAGTTGAAAACATTTTTTTCCTGTATTCTTGGGGGCAACCTCCTTTTATTTTTATATATTTTCCTTCTTTAATTTTACAATATTTTCTTTGTACATAGGCTATTTAAAAATTATTATGTATAAGAATAAAATGTAAGTAATACAGTATTTGTTATTTTATAATCATAAGTTGCAACTTTTTTTTTTTTTTTTTATTTTTTTTTTTTAAGTAATTGTTATTGTCGTGATGGAATAATAGACAATAACTTTTTTTTTCTTTGTAATACATATATTATATATACTCACTTATTGTTATGCAGGCAAGGTTCCGGTATATTACGGTATATTATAAACTAATAACTTAGTCATCTTATATTACATTCACTTATGTATTTGTGCATTTCTATTATTGTAGGACAATGAGACAATTGATAGATCGCCTTAGTTCCCTGGTTCTCAACCTTCTTAAAGCTGTATTTGCATCGGATCCGAACCAAAATTCGGGACGCGTTTTCGAAGCACTGAAAACGCCAGCGTCTCTATTCTTAAACACTGATTCGATTTTTGGATCAGTTTGGTAAGCTTTCCGATCCGATGCGAAAAATTAGATTCGGTGTGAATGCACCTTTAGAGTCGGGCTCATATTTAAACCTCTCAAAATGTACAGTAGTGGTCCCACAAAAATGAAACTTTCCGCTAAGCCCACCCTTGGATATTGCTTCTAAGATCCCATTAAACGATCGACAGTGTAAAAATAAACGCAAGCGCGTGCGTTTGTGGAACGGTACGTGTGTTCCAGTGACGTGCGCGTATTCGTAGCCCTGTCCTGATTGGTCATTTGCCTGATTGACACTTCGGAAAGGTCTATTATACTGTATAAGGTTTCGACGAGTGTGTATTACAAGATAGGCAGTTGTGCCCGTCATTCAAGGTTACATCCGTAAACACGAGACTTCTATTTGTATTAGTCTTGAATGCCAATCCAATGTCAGAAATGTTTTCATATTTGAACATTACTTTTGAAATTTGTGATGCATAATGTTCTATATGATCTTCATTCCAACTAAAAACCATAGCAAATGTATTAACCCAATTCCTGAAAGTAAAGTGGCGTTCGTATAATTATGGATGAATGTCGATTCTGCTAGGAAAGTACACAGCTCAAATTTACTGTATTCATTTTCTTTAGCGCATTTTACTATAGTAGTAGTACTATAATAATAATAATAATAATAATAATAATAATAATAATAATAATAATAATAATAATTTATTAATTTTCTGTAGTGCATTTTACTATAGTTGTTAATAATAATAATAATAATAATAATAATAATAATAATAATAATAATAATAATAATAATAATAATGTATTAAGCTCTATTGCACCTCAATCGATGAGCTATATAAATTTTCATATTATTATAGTATTTATATTATTGTAGCCAAGTGCATGAAAATATCGATAAACCCGCCTTTGATGTTCTTATCTATTGCGTGTCCTTTCTTGACCTATTTGTAAAGAATTTCAATAGCTATTTGTAGTCATTTAGTAGAGAGTATATTGCCCTTAACATACTGCAAGTCACAGCTGTTACTGGCGACTAGTAGGGGTCTCCCGACAACGTCATATCGAAATTAATATTCTTACTGAGAGAGCTGAGCAGATGTAGAAATTTTTAAAGGTGTAAGAAAAATATAGTAATAACACATACTATAAACTAACACCGCAGAGAGCAGTTTGAAGTCGTTTAGTCATTACACATATCTTCGAGTTATAGGCCTTATACGCCTCACTAATTATGAACTGGTCCTCTTCATGAAGAGACATAGAAAACGGCTATAATGCGTCAACTGTACCATGCACTACAATAATAGTTTCTTAGTAATCTACCTCGTGTTTTGCGCTCAGGTTCAACATATTTTAGTAACTTAATTAATAGTAAAAATTTCAAGGTTATAAATGAAACAAAATTAATAAACATATATAAATATTTAGGTATATTTATTGCAAAAAAAGAATCGCACATACAAAACAGTCTATTGCAGCATAAGCTGAATTGAAAGACTGAAAAATTATTACAAATATTGGCCATTAAAAATTTACAAATCATTATTAAAATAGAGCATACGTATAGGTTTGCACCTCGACCGTTGATGAATAGTGCCACAATTTACAACAAACACGTAAAATGTAATAATGAGCTCATAATCATCATTATACAATTTTCGATATAATTATAACCCGCTCTGGATCTCCTTGCTTTTCTTCCTTCTACCTGTATATTTTTGTAATACAAAACAAATCAAACACTAACAATTTATTTATTTTTTACTTTATTTTTCATATGCCTCCAGCCTAGGCCCTAGGCTTATATTCCATGTGATCAAAAATGGTTAACGCCCTCTATGTTCACAAAACATATCTTAGATATTTCTAAGTACCGTACGGGAGGCATGCTTGGTTGCTAGGTGATGTTTCCCACATGATAACTATGCAGCAGTAGACCAAACTAAATGTCGGGGGATACCTAGGCTATCGGGTGTTTCCACTTCATTTTAAGCGTTAAGTAACTGTAGAATTGTATATACAATTAGGTAAATAGCTGTAAGATATGTTAGTGTGACCCTATGTTAGTATTAGTACAACCACAGAGTCTGTAGTATTACCTACTTTGATAGAATTATTTTCTTTAAACTGAAAAACGAGGTAAAATAGGTTTATGGCAATGGCAAGGCTTTTTTTTTGTTGGTTCGTACTTTTATTATTAATTAGGCCAGTGATAATCACGTCAAACTAAAATTAGCAAGTTCCTTGTTCGAAATAATCATTTATCAGCGGTTCGCCTGGTAAAAGTAATATTAAGAATCACAGTAATTGTCATATAGGATGCATTTGGCATTTTCAAACTACTGTAATTTGTTGACAAGGACGTATATTAAGGTAGGTAATAATTGAAGAAAAATTGCCGAGGATAGCAAGTTCATGATCTATCCGTTTATCCATGTCACTGAAATTAATATTGATGCGATGTAGAAATATCATTAACTTTCACAAGCGTTTAATTGTACTGCTAAGAGTTCACTGAAAGACCACAGCGACCAATGAATACATAAAAAGATTGGATCTTCTGGCTCTGATTTCTCGTTTTACCTTTTCTCCGCCGTTGGAATATCACAACATCTTCAATACTCTTTGTGGTGCTAGGTTGAAATTTATTGTGTAACTAGTGGCGTATAGAGTAGGCGTGTGGAGTATTGAAATGAGGGGAGAGGCTGATGGAGGCGGTGCAAGTTGAAGTGGGGGAGGGGGCTCGATGACTTAGTAAAGGGGAGTGAGGTCGTAAAAAGTTATATGAGGCGATTTTAAATTACTTGAGAGTGATATTATCATTGAATTGGAGAGGGACAACTGGGGGAGCGAGTATTTTTTTTTTTTGGGGGGGGGGGGCCCGAGGGATAACAGTCAAGATATGCATTCACGACTTGCTATGTCGTACTATTCTGTCCTTGGTTTAATAAACATTACTCTAATTGTCTCTTCCTTTGAATGGGATATTTAGCCGTTGGTCCCATGAGTATAATAACAAATACACATGGAAAAACAAACCCATAAAGAACAATTACATTTCATTAATGAGCAATGTATTCCGTAGCTGTGGTGCGACTTCTGTACAACTTCTACCGTACTGCTGCTACTACCATGGCGGGCAGAACCTGGGGCCGGGGTGCTTCCCCCCACCCTCCATACCTTTTGGCAGAAAATATATAATGTCTATGCAGATTTTTGTATGATCGGCTCCCTCACAATTCATATTCCCATTCATCTTACTAGTGCCCCCCCCCCCTCTTTGAAAAACGTTCCGCCGGCCCTCACTACTATTAATACTGCTGCTGCTGATATAGTGCTACTAGCATGCTACAATTAACTAC